CCCGCCGCCGCCCTGCTCCTGCAGCTGGCGCGCCACCTCAGCATCATACTCCTCCTGCACCCAGGGCCGACACAGGGCGGGCACAAAAGGGCAGCAGATGTTGGCAGCACCAAGGCCCAGCAGCCAGGGCTGGTTGGGGAGGCAAGGGCAGGTGGCAAGGGGCCAGCGCAAGTCGGCTTGTAGCCCTACCTGGCGCGGCAGCAACGACTGCAAACCGCCGGCCACCTCTGTAGCTGACAGGCCAGGCTGGCTGGCTGGCAGGCGGGGCTGCACACCTAGCACCTACACACACCTGCAGCCGCCGCGCAATCTGCTCATCTGATTCGGTGCCGTCCTGCTGCGCCGCCTCCTGTGTGCTCCACGCTGCGGGGCGGAGCGGGGGCAGCAGGGCGGCGGCATGTCGGCATCAGGCAAAGAGACTGGGCGCTGGGAGTGCGCCAGGCCGGGGAGCAGGCGGGCAGCCCCCAGCTCCTCTCTACTCACTTCCTGGCGTGTTGGCCATGCTCGCCGCCGTCGCCCCTGCCGCCACCCCCATTAGGCTGCTGTACAGCGGTCCCGCCTGCGCCGGCGGCAGCTGCGGCCGCGCCGCCGGCTGCTGCTGCTGGGCGGCGGCGGCCGCGGGCCCCGCCGCCGCCGCTCCTGCCGCGGCCGCGGGACCGCCGCTTGCGGGGGATGCATCCACCGGGAAGCCGCGGTTGTTGACGGTACGGATCAGCTTCTGCGGCACAACCAGGCGGGTGCAGCCAGCAAGAAGGGAGGAGGTGGCAGAGGAATCAAGCAGCCACCGGCGCCTGCCACCAGCCCCTGCCAGCTGCCCCTGCTGCGCTCAGCCAGCAGGACGCAAAGGAGGAATGCCATGCCGCCGCCCTCTGCCTCCCCGCAGCTCACATCCAGGGCATTGATGGACATCTGCCTGCCGTCGTCGGGGCGCAGGTAGAAAGTGTAGCCCTCGGGAGGGTTCATGCCGCCGCCTGCATGCCCGCCCGTGGTGTACACGCCTGCGCGGCACAGCAACAGAGGCGGGGGCTGCGCTGTGCATCCCCTCAGGAGGCACCCCGACCAGATCTGCCCGGCAGGTGCGCCCTCTCGCCCAATGCACCCCTTTCCCCTCGCTGCTTGCTCTCCTGCGCTGCCCCCCCCAGCCCTACGCAGCCATGCCCGGCAGCTGCAACAACTCAGCCCACCACCACCTTCCCCGCGCAGCCAGCTTCCCCTCTCCCGCCAACCAGCTGCCACCCACCCGAGGGCAGCTCGTGCTTGCGGTGCAGGGTGATGCCCGCCTGCGCCACGCGCGGCCCGCCGCCGCCGCTGGGCTGCAGCCGGGCCTCGGCCTTGGGGTTGTACACCTCGCGCTGCACACACAGGCATAGACAAAAGAGCGGCAGCTGGTGAGGGGGTGGCCTCCATACCCTCCTGTGTCCAGCCATGGGGTTGGCAGCACAAGAGACACCAGGCAAGGGAGGCGTATCAGCGGCGGCGGGGAAGGCCCAGCAAGGGGAGGCACCCGGCCGCCACGGCCCGGGGCTCACCGCTCGCGCGCCGTCCAGCCACACGCGGCACGAGGGCGCCGTGTTGGCCAGCGTCTTGTAGGCCAGAAACACGCAGTGGGTGAGCTGCCGGCTGGGGGGCGCCTGCGGGCGTGGGGCAGCACGCGGCGGCGGCGGCCTCTGAACGCGGCTCTCGCGCGGCGCATAGATGCCATCCACGGCCCTCTCCCTACACGTCCCGCAACGCACCAATCACCCTGCGTCCATGCTGGCACCCCGCCACCGCCATCAACACCACATGAGGCCGGCCTGGGGACCAGTGCAGCAGCCCAAGGACGGCCCCGCCCCTCCCCACCCCCAGCCTCCCTCCCCCCCCCACCTGCGGGTTTGGGAAC